AACTATTTAAAATATATATATATATGTGTGTGTGCAAAATATATAAATATATAATATATATATATATATATATATATATATATATATATATATATATAAGATATATATATATATATATATATAATATATATATATATATATGTGTGTGAATTAAATGTATATATATATGTGTGTTTGTATTATATATATATATATATAAGATAATATATTAATGAAATATGTAATTTTATTTTTATATAAAATTCACAAAATATTTATATATATATATAATAAATATATATAATATATATATATAAAATATATATATATATGTAAAAAAAATCATGTATATATATATATATAATTTTAAAAATTGTAGTATATATATTTGAAAATGATATATATATTTTTTATATATATATATATATATATATATATAATTGTTAACAAACAAAAAAAAAAAAGATAAAAAATGAAATCGATTTTTAAATATATACCGAATTTATTTTAAAATCAAAAATAAGATTTAAAATAAATATTTTGTTATTATATTTATATATTTATTATATGGCTCATATAAATTATCTCTAAATTTTTTAAGTGTCTGTGAAGTTTTAAAAAAAAAAATCTATAAAAAACCTTTTCCATTTATTATAGTTTTATTCAAATAAAAATTTTTATTTATATATATAATATATATATATATATAAATATTTTTTATATATATTTATTTAAATATTGGAAAAAAGTTTTCATGCTAAATATATATATGCAAAATTGTCCAATTGTTAAAAAAAGATTTGAATTTGAAAATTTTGAAAGAAAAATAATTCAAATATGGGGTACTTAGAATTTATCTGATGTTTTATATAACACTGGACATTACAAATTTTTTGAAAATAAGATTTGTATTTAAATTGATAAAAAAAAATCATATAATATCCCATATAAAATGCGAGTACATCTGATTATTTTTCCTGTTTTTGTATTATTTTTTTAAATTTATTCCTCGTTCTTTTGATGGTTTTGAAAGAATTTAATTTGGAAGACAGACTTTGAATAAAATTTATCGTTACTGAAGGCCTGAATGTTTTTTCTTAATAAAAATTATATTAATTATATAAGGAGGACTAACACAAACGGATTTAAAAACATGTATTCTTTTTTGAATAACAAAAAAGGGCTTTTACAGGAATTCTTACGACAAATAATGTCAAGATGGAAATATGAATTATCTGAATTGTTTTGATTAAAAAATTCAATTAATTTTTGGTATTTCAGATATTAAATTTATGAAAGATATTATACTTTACCATTTTTTAATATAATATCCCAATTTTTTTTTTTTTATATATATATATATATATATATATATATATATATATATATATATATATATATATATATATCTATGTTGAAATAAAAAAAAAATTTTCAATTTTAATATATATATATATATATATATACCATATATATATATATATTTATATTTATATATATATATATATATATATATATATTTTGAAATGAATTGCAATTAATTGCACAAAAAATTGGATGGCAAAACAAAGGAAAAGGACATTTCTAAATAGTAAAACCTGCGGAGGGTCGTTTAAAACGATTTATTGCACCAAGTCTCTGTATCATGGATTCAAAAAATTTATATAAATTTATATAAATATAATATATAATCAAATATCAAATATATAATAGAAAGATTCCAAAGGATGTGATCTTCTAGATCAATTCATACGTCGAGAAATAGAAGAATCGATATATATATATATATATATATATATATATATATATATATATATATATATATATATATATATTTGGTTGGATAGATGTGAGTTTGTGACCCTGGGTTTCACGCTTTAATAATTTAATATATTGATCGTCAGACAAACTGATTAATGTTTTAAAAAATTTGGGTTTATGTAGATTGCGTATTTGGTGTTATTGTGGAAGTGGTGGGGAAATTTAGTCGTTTTGTCATTCATCGTACTAACGCAAACATCGATATATGCAGACACATATACATGTTGGTCGTCCGTCGGGACTCATACATATATAAACGTATGTGGAAAGTTTATATACTTTTTCACATCGATTTATGTCTGTTCTAAACTGTTATAGTACGAAGAAAAAAACCGACTCGCTTAGAAATCGAACTCTTCAATACTAAGATCAATTATCGATAATCGTTTTTTTACCAGCACATCCATTTAAAAAATGTCCTTAATTCCCATTAACTTATTATCTGTTTATGCCAATATAGAATTCAATTATGTTTTCTGAAATATACTTATCTTGACAAATGTATATATAGAGAATTAAATGCGATATATATATATATATGCATTAGTTTTGTGTGAATAATTCATGTATTTGTAAATTGATTGCACGTTTATTGTAATTTAAATAACTGATCCAAGTGCGACTTTTTGGATAATAAATGCGACATTACTGTAATTATTGAACAATATAGTTCATGCCACTTTTGACAGAAAAAATTTACCAGTATAAAAAAATTTGTTCATCACCATATTTGGTATAAACGCAAACACTTAAAAAAAATTTAAAATCAAACTCAGCGTTGCTTTGGCGCGTTCAAAAACCAATAACTCATTTTCAATAGCATTTTCGGATACAACAACACATATATTTTCGTTGTCCTCTTATTACTAAGAGAAAAAAACAAGAACAACATCTATTCTATACCTGAAGATGTCTGTAGGAACAGACGAAAGCTTGTAGTAAAAAATAACAACTAATACGGCAGAAATTTATATAAACAAGGATCAATTCATTCATAACGGATCTGGAGGTTTTTGTATACTATTTGAATTGTTTGCGATGATGGATGTCTCGCCATTTAAATCATTAACCTTTGCATTAGTTTTGTGTGAATAATTCATTTATATATATATATATATATATATATATATATATATATATATATATATATATGTGTGTGTGTGTGTGTGTGTGTGTGTGTGAAATTTATGAAATATACATTTTTTCTATCAGTTAAATTGTTAGGTAATTGAAAACCAAGTGGAAAAAATATGTTTAAATTTAAAATTTCTGTCGTCGGACGTAATTAAATGGCCATTTAAGGCGATCGAATTCGGTTTATCATTGCTTATCGGATCCAACTGAAAATCATTTGGTTTCTCACAGACAAACTTTGTACACGTCTTAGGTAGAATTATCGCCCTTGTTTGTATTTACAATCTCTTTTGTTGTTGCTTCATGTGAAGTGGAGGAAGAGCATTTGCCCCCGATCTCCTCTTAGGCTGTTGTCGTCATTGCAGCTACTGTCAAAAATGTGGCCATGCGGAACAGATAGGCTGGAGAGTTTGGTTGAGTTCACAATTGTTTTGCGTTTTTCCCTCCGCCATTGTCTGGGAGCATGGGTATAAATTAGAGAAATTGCTTCCGTTCGATATCCCGTCAGGCGCTGTCAGTGCCCTACCCCCACCTCTCTGCCGCCGGCATTTCGAGCAGCGAACGGCTCTTTACTGAGATAATAGCCTCTTTTCTCTGTTCAGTACGCCCTACCAAGTTCCCTTCTGCTCTTGACGAAAAACTTAGCAGGACAGATGAAGTCATTCTAAGCATATTCACTTAAAATTTTTAGGAACGGATCGACACTCAGAAAGGCACGGCGAACAATCAGGTTTTAAGTCAAGAGGCCCAAACAACTACTAAATCAATTTCTTTCTCACGGAAAGCAAACCCCTACATCCACGCTAGTTTTTGAGACTTGTGTTATATATATATATATATATATATATATATATATATATATATATATATATATATATATTTGTTGCGTATATACACATATATATTAGAATAACACACACACACACACACATATATATATATATATATATATATATATATATATATATATATATATATATATAGAATAATAATGCATATTTTCTATATCTCGAATATTCAGACGGGTAGAGGTAAATGTATAAATATAATATTTAATAAATAGATAAAAACAGACCGTATACTTAAATATGGATATCCATTAAAAATAACGTTTAATCAAATAATTTATATATATATATATATATATATATATATATATATATATATATAATTCCATGGGTAATCCAAGGAGACCATATTAATATAAAATATTAAAACTGATCCACAAAAGAGAGCTCAATATAATTTTTAAATTATAGACCAGATAAGTGAATTATAATGAATGTATATATATATATATATATATATATATATATATATATATATATATATATATATATATATATATATATATGTGTGTGTGTGTGTGTGTGTGTGTGTGTGTGTGTATTAGACATGAAATTATGTTACAATCCTTCTATAATTTACCTAAAATTTTTCAGTTAACCTGATGAATATTTATAAGAGTCTCTTGCGGGTTATTTGAGGTTAGTAAATATTTTTTGATTGATAGAGTTTTTATTAAGGTAATACCGCTATAGTGATACAAGTATTACTAATTAATACATAGTTGACGGGAGAAGAGGTGAATTCTTACCTTTCCCAAGGCAACGAACGCAACTGGAATTGGAACTCGGTTGTCTAATAAACAATTCCAAGTTATGATCGATAACACCACCCACACATCCAAGTTTACAGCATCTGGTATTCGCAAGCGGTCACCAATCTTGGTTACTTCGGTGATCGTACGAGTGTCGGTATTTACCGTGATGTAGCCGTAAGCCATGCTTACTACACAGCCAAGCTTACAGCACCTGGTATTCGTAAGAGGTCAACTATCTAGGTATTGACCAGTCTCGTTGTTGGTGATCGTACAGAAGCCGGTGTTTCAACGTGATATGGCTGTAAACCATACTACCATCACATCCAAACTTACAACTGCTATTCCCAAGCGGCCTTACAGCCAGGTAATGTCCTGGCTGGACGTTGCTTAACTTCGGTGATCGTACAGGGACCGGTGTTTCAACATAATATGGGCACAAGCCATAACACCTACACATACAAACTTACAGCACCTGATATTCCCAAGCTCTCATCAGTGTACGTACTGACCAGGCTCGACGTTGCTTAACTTCGATGATCGTACGGGAACCGGTGTTTCAACGTGATATGGCCGTAAACTGTCCTACCCATACATTCAAACTTACAGAACTTGGTTTTACCAAGCGGTCACTCATCTAGGTATAGACCAGACTCGACGTTGCTTAACTTCGGTTATCGTACGGGAACCGATGTTTCAACGTCATATGGCCGTAAACCATACTGCCAATACATTCAAATTTACAGAACCTGGTATTACCAAGCGGTCACACATCTAGGTATTGACCAGGCTCGGTGTTGCTTAACTTCGGTGATTTAGCCGTAAGTTGTTATAAAGAAGATCCGCTGAAGATTAATGCTACACATTTAAATTTTTTTAAAGCTGTTTGATTATGATATCTCACACACAGTCAAACAATTAAATAAAGTTAATTCTCTGGTAAGTGTTATAATCGAGTAAGGAATGTGTTACAGAACTCCGAAGTCAGATGAGGAAAGATGCCTTCCGAATGTTAAACCATTAAGAAGCAGCAACATATTTTTATAGCGGTGCACTGCTAAGTAATATCAACCCTGCTATATAGCACTGGATGCTGAACCATTTAGTCACGGCTTAAGAGAGGGGCTTGTAGCAAGAGATGTGATTTTATAGACGGATTCTGAGAATACCATAGACAGGACACGTGCTCAACGAGGAAGTTTTAAGAAAATGGGAATGAAAAGGACCATGCTATTTAGAATCAGAAAGAAACAGATGAAATTTTTGGGGACACGCAATGAGAGGAGATGGCTTGAAGAATTTGACACTCACAGGACATAGTGAAGATTACAGAGCTACAGCGTGCAAACTACCTAAGGAACTTCTGTAAGTGACTGGGAGGGATAGTGAGGGGACAAAAACTGTTTAGATCTACAAATGGTAGGGAAATTTAGAGAACCATAAACACCTACGCTATGAAAAAAAAAAAAACAATAAAAAAAACACACACACACAAATTGGAGAAAGGAGAAGAGGGTTTACTCTTAAAACGAAGGTGACATACATAGCAGTATAGTGAATCGCAAGCTATTTATAATACTATTGAACGTGTTCGATTCTTAGGGAATGTCCAGCATACACGTATGCGGCCTTGTCTCGGTGCTAGATTTACACCTAAACTGTCAGGCGACGTTCATTAACAACCCTCTTTCTGAACTGCGCGCTTTGTCTTCATTTTGTTATCTGCGAACTGCTGTGAGTAATAACTGTTTTCAGTGATGTTGTTTAGTCTCTTTTTAAATCTATTTTACTATTGTTGCCTTACACGAACCCGCAAAAAAAAAAACAAAAAAAAAAAACATTGACGATGAAGGTATAATTAATAGATGTTTTAGCGTTTCCTTCCGCCGGAGTTCGTAATGAAATACTCCCGTGTTCAAAGTCACCGTGCGATATGCTAACTTTTAACCAGGACTCGAATGCCGTCTGCTTTTTGGATATACATAACGTTTTCCGTCATGACACACTTCTTATTCTAATAGTATCAATAATGACAATATTAGTAATAAGATGCAATTATATTTTTTAAACTGCAAGAAAACTATTATTATTATTGGTAGTAGTAGTAGTATCAATAATAATAATAATAATAATAATAATAATTAGGGAATTTAGAAAAACAAATCATGAAATACAGCCATAACAACACGCCACTACATGCCTTAGGTCCTCCCGCAGACTTGGTAGGTATTGTGATCATAGCGGAAATCGAAAGATGATGATGATGATGATGATGATGATGATGATGATGATGGTTTACTCATAATATCGCGAAGGAAGATAAAGACAGAGATACCAGTGCTTGCAAAAAGAACAAAAACGAAAGCAGATTTTGATATCTAAAACTAAAAATTGAGGACAAAAATATAAAGATGATAAGCGAATATTGCATTCATTTTTCACGATAATAAATAAAGAAACTAAGAAAAAAGACGGGAAAAGTAAATAAAATATAGCAAACGACAAAATAATTTTTAAAAATAAGATAACAAAAAAAAAAAAACAAAGTTGAGAAAGAGAAGTCATAAAATATAGTAATGAGAAACAAAATGCAATGGAAGAATTGTGTATCAGAAGAAGACGGCTCAGTAAACGCAGCGGCTCCTCAAGCATCAGTTCCCAAAAATAAAGACACGCAATGGGAGACCGTCATCTTCATCATAAAGTCTTCACCAGAAAGAAAAAAAGAGGACAATTTACCGCTTTTATCTCGCGAAGCGAATACTATGTTTGGTACAGTTTCAGCTCGTTTTTATGCTTGTGTTTTTGCAAAGGACAGGCGAGACGGAATCTCATCATGGCGTAAACCGGAAATTAGGTTGTCGTCTGCCTCAATCATTTATAATTATTAACGTTTTCCAAGATGGAGGATTGGACTGTGAGACTGTGTACTGATGTTACATTAAAGCATTGATCTTAGCATGATTTTATAAAAAGAAAATAAAAACAACAAAAAGAGAATTATTACAAGGGAAAAATAAATAAAAAAATCCAAAACAATGAAGTTCAGTTATCGCTATATTCAACTATGAAAACAAAATGAATAAAAAGAGACCCAGCCAATTCATAAATAAAGAATCAAATTAAAAAAAACCCAATAATAAATCACCAATCATATTTTAAAAATTAAAAAGTTGTTTTTCTTACGCTGTTTCATATGATTCAATAAGCATTTGGAAATATTCTGATTAAATATAATTCTCTTCTGTAATGATATATATAAAAAAGAAAAAAAAAGAAAAAATTACGATAAAAGTTTTAAGTTTAATCAACATCTCTAATTATTCGGCAATCAACATCATATTTTAACAAAATACAATTTGAGGACATATGATTATTCAAAAGATTATTTGAAAGTAGAATTAAATATATTAAATAAATATATATGGAATATAAAATATGATTCATATATATATATTATCATGTTTATTAAAACGACAGACAATTACTACGGTTGAGCATTTTTATTTAATTTTTCTTGTGTTCTGACAAGAACTTTCTTTTTGGACAAAGAGTATGTAAGAACAATGAATGTTTTGTATTTGATGTTTCGGCGTTTCCATTATCAAGGATGATTCAATTATCAATAGTGTGTGTGTTGTGTATGTTCACATTGATGTTTTAGTTTTTGTTCATTGTGGCTTTGTTTAATATTGTTAAGAGTTGGCTTTTTTTTTTTATTATTAGAGCTTCCATTATTTTTTAGTCTTTTTTTGCAAGTGGATGCAGTTAATATATTTGTGTTTTCTACTAGTATGTTCCTAATAGTGTCGGGTAAATCTGAGTGTGTGTTTAAATGTGTTCTGATGGAGCTGTGATCAGATAGGTGTAATGTAAGACGTCTGATAAACATGTGGTTGTGTAGCCGATGTAATTATTTATGAGTCCGGTTTGGTGAGGAACGCAGTTTCTTAAAGGGCATTTGAATCATCCTTGATAATGGCTAAAGCAAATGTTTGAAAGCGCTTTGAAATACAGAACATTCGGACAGTTCTTACACATTCTTTGTCCAGAAAAAAAAAGCTCTTGCCAGAACACAAGAAAAATTAAATAAAAAGCTCAACCGTAGTACCTTGTCTGTCGTTTTTAATGAAACATGCATAAAGGAAGGATTGCTGCCTAAATATACAAATATATATATATATATATATATTTCTTCCTCATTTGATCACTTCCTAAAATATTATTAAGATACAAAAGGGATTATTTGCATTTAAAAAGTTTATTAGGTTTATTTCATTGTTTATTCTATTTATTACTCTTATATTTGTAAAGTTATGTTACACTTATTGTTGTAACATAGAGAAAGTTACTGAATAGAATAATCAAACGAAGGTTGATAGTGGACGATAATACTTAGGACAAGAACAACGCATATAAGATTCGACAGCGGCGTGTAGAAGTTGTCAACTGCAAGAAGTAAGTCAAGTGAATTCCACAATGAATCTCCAACTCTTGACCAACATGCAGTATTTACTACTGTATTTATGTGAATGGGGACATACCCATTACAGTCTGTAGGTATACTACAGCACTTATTATGTTGTTTACAAAATTTATTCCTCTTATTACAATATGTATTAGGCTTATTTCCTTGCTTACTCTATTTATTAAAGTTATTACATTGTTCATGAGGTTTATTGCACAAATTAAATTGTTTACATCATTAGCAAATTTTATAACATTGTTAACCATATGTACTAGTTTTATTACATTGTTTACAAAGATTATTACACTTACTACATTGTTTAGAATAAGTCTTATAAAATTGTTCACATTATTTACTAATTTTATTACATTGTTTACAAAGTCCCTTACAATTATTACATTGTTTACAATATTAACTAATTTTATAACAGTATTTACAATATGTACTATGTTTAATACATTGTTTTCAAGGATTATTAAACTTATTACATTGTTTACAACATTAACTAATTTTATATTATTGTTCACAATATGTACTTCTGCCCAATAAGAGTTGAATAGTAGAACAGACTGGGTCCTATAGGCTTGGTTGGCAACCAGTTTGTCACAGAAAGAAATGTCAATCTACTATGAGAAAATCTTCTGCCTAATCAGTCATGCATAGGAAGAGACATGATCGCTCAAGCGTGTATCACTTATAGAACTTAACTGACTGACTAACTTAATCGCATTGTTTGAAAGGATTATTACACTTATTATATTGTTTACAAAATTAGCTAATTTTATGACATTTTTACAGTATGTACTATTTCTATTACATTGTTTGCAAGGTTTTTACACTTATTGCATTATATACAATAATTACTAATTTTGTAAAATATGTTTACAGCATTTACTCATTTTATTACATTGTTTACACGGTTTATTACACTTTTTACCTTGTTTACAAGATTAACTTTGTAACATTGTTTACAAAATGTACTAATTTTTCAACATTATTTACAATATTTATTAATTTTTTTACTCTGTTTAAATTATTTGTTTCTTTTATAAAATTTATGCAAGGTTTATTACGCTTATAACATTGTGTACAATGATTATTACACTTATGG